TGGTATTCATTTATATATATATATATATTTTTTTTTTTTCATCCTTTCCCTCCTCAGAGAGTCCCCCTTAAAATTTCTTGCAGGGTTGGTTTAGTGGTCACAAACTCCTTTAATTTTTTTTGTCTGGGAAACACTTTTATCTCTCCTTCTATTTTGAATGACAGCCTTGCTGGATAAAGAATTCTTGGCTGCATAATTTTCTGATTCAGCACACTGAATATATCCTGCCACTCCTTTCTGGCATGCCAAGTTTCTGTGGATAAGTCTGCTGCAAACCTGATCTATCTTCCCTCGTAGGTCAGGGACTTTTTTTTCCCTTGCTGCCTTCATGATTCTCTCCTTGCCTGAGTATTTTGTGAATTTGACTCTGATATGCCTTGTCGATGGTCAGTTTTTGTTGAATCTAATGGGGATGCTCTGTGCTTCCTGGATTTTGATATCTGTGTCTTTCCCCAGGTTAGGAAAGTTTTCCACTACGATTTGCTCACATAACCCTTCTACCCCTATTTCTCTCTCTTCCTCTTCTGGGACCCCTATGATTCTGATGTTGTTCCTTTTTAATGAGTCACTGATTTCTCTAATTCTTAAATAGTGCTCTGTTGCCTTAATCTCCCTCTTTTTTTCTGCTTCATTATTATCTATAAGTTTGTTCTCTATATTGCTGATTCTGTTCTGCCTCATCCATCCTTGATGCTGCTGCATCCATCCACGATTGCAGCTCAGTTATAGCATTTTTTATTTAATTCTGGCTATTTTTACTTCTTTTATCTCTGCAGAAAGGGATTCTAATCTATTTTTGACTCCAGCTAGTATTATTATCGTGATTCTAAGTTCTGGTTCAGACATCTTGCTTGTATCTGTGTTGGTTAAATCCCTGGCTGTCTTTTCTTCGTGCTCTTTCTTTTGGGGTGAATTCCTTCGTTTTGTCATTTTGAAGGGAATAAAAGAATTAATGAGGTAGAAATAATGAAATTAAAAAAATTAGAGTTAAAAAATTAAAATTAAAAATTACACACACACACACACACACACACAGAAATCGAATAAATAATGCTAGATCCTAGGTGTGTTTTGGTCTGGGTGTTGAAAGTGGTTTGACAGATTAGAGGGAAAAAAAGGGGGGGGAGGAAATTGAGAATTTGAAAAAATGAATACACTGAAGTAGACTAAAGTACCCTGATGGGGGTAAAATAGAATTTGAAAAAATGTACACAAAAGTAAAGAATATAGTAGAAAAAAATAAAAATATTTAAATAAAATTTAAAAATAAATATGATTTTTTTCTTTTTATGTATTTAAGAAAAAAGAAAAGAAACAAAAAAGAGAATAAAGGTTTTTTAAAAAGGTAAAAGATTAAAAAAAAGAAAAAAAGGAAATCGTTTGAAAATTTGAAAAAGTGAATACATGGTGGTAGACTAAAATAAAATGATGGAAGTAAAATAGAATTTGAAAAAATTCCCTAAAAGCAAAAATATAGTAAAAAATTAAATAAAAATATTTTAATAGAAATTGAAAGTAAAAATGAAGTTTTTCTCTTTCTGCATTCAAAAAAAAGAAATGAAAAAGTGAAAAAAAGAAAAAGAAAGAAAAAGAAGGAAATTGAAAATTTGAAAAGGTGAATACACTGAAGTAGACTAAAATAAAATGATGGAAGTAAAATAGAATTTGAAAAATTTTACACAAAAGTAAAAAATATAGTGATAAAAATTAAAGAAAATATTTTTTTAAAAAATGAATTTTTCTCTGTATTCAAGAAAAAGAAAAGAAGTGTAAAAGAGAAAAAGAAAAAAAAAAAAGAAAGAAAATTGAATAGATGAACCTGCCAGCAGATTGAAGTAGGACTGAAATTACTTAGTTTTCCCCTAGAGGTCAGTCTGTGTAGCACTTTATAGTCCATAAACTAAGCTGGCGGTGAGACTTGTGTTCTTGAAGAACAAAGTTGGCCCAGTTGGGCGTGTCTCAGTGTAACAGCTCTGCTCTCCACTAGGTGGCATTGCTAGCCTACTTGGGTGGATTGTTGAGGTGCTTCTAGTTGTGTATGTACATGCAAGGGAGTGGTGAAAATGGTGCCACCCAGCTACCCACTGTTCTCCCGGATCAGCAATTGCGCACCTGTCGTCCTCTGTCTTTAGCTCTCGTCCACTCCCCACTTTTTCACTTTCTGTGACCAGGCCCCAGGCAGTACCTCTCTCCCAAGTTTTGTGTCAGATGCGGCTATTTTCCCCGGCCCCTTACCTCTGAAGGACTACAGCTTTGACCCCTTCCACCTCTGCGGAAGGGTGTCACCGAGCAATGGCTGAATACTGGCTGCACCCAGGAACGCCCCAGAATAAGTTCACGATAGTATAGCAGCAGCTTTTCAGGGATTATGGAAAATCACAACACATATCTGGAACCAGGCTTCACCCTTAACAGCCTTGCCCCAGCACCAGCGAATGTGGCCACCTTCCGTGGTCTGCTGGGACCAGGTGACTTCAACAGTCTCTACCAAATGTCCTTCCTGCAGTGGAGCCGCTTTTCCCTGTGTGGCCTGAGAACCTCCTGGACCCCACTCTGTTCCTGGGGATTCACCTTTCCCACCAGAACACTGCCAGGTATTGAGCTGCAGAGTTGCAGACTTTGTGCTCCCCTTGTTTACAGTCTTAATGAAATTTAAACCCTCTCCTTTCTCCTTTCTCCTTTCTCCTTTCTCCTTTCTCCTTTCTCCTTTCTCCCTTTTCAGTTTAGTCCCTGTGGCTGCTTCCAATTTTCCACTTTCTCTCCAGCTCCTATTGGGGAGGGGTGCTTTTCCCGTATTCTCCACCCCTGTCTCTGTCCTCTCTCCACCCGCAAAAGCACCTCCCTTCCTGCGGCTTCTCACTTCCCAAGTTCCCCTCTCTGCGCTGCGTACCTGCTTAATTCTGTGGTTCGGTTTGTGCAGATTGTTGTGTTAGTCCTCCAATCAGTTTTCTAGGTGTGTAGGATGGTTTAGTGTTGGTCTGACTGTAATTCGTGGATGTGAGACACATAAAAAACTTCCATGCTGTTCCACCATCTTGGCTCCTCCCTACATCCTTCATGTTTAAAAAATTATTTATAGATACCTACAAAATTAAATTGTCAAAGTTCTCTCCCTTCTAATCCTTCTGAACTGTACATTTAAATAGCTTTTAATAAAATGTTTATTTATTTTGAGAGAGAGAAAGAACGAGCAGGGGAGGGGCAGAGAGAGAGGGAGAGAGAATCCCAAGCAGGCTCCATGCTGTCTGTAAAGAGCCTGATGCAGGTCTTGATCTCATGAACCTTGAGATCATGACCTGAGCCAAAATCAAGAGTCAGAAGCCTAGCCAACTGAGGCACCCAGGTGCCCATAAATGGCTCTCTTAAAGTATCAATTTAATTATGCCACTTTCCTTCATAATCACCTAACTCTGAATTTCTGCAAATTAAAAGTATGTTTTAAAGCCCTCTATATGTCAGTTGTCTAAATGTATCTCTTTTTACTCTTCAAAACACAGGTAAGCATGTCTGTTTTAGTTAAGTCTATCTTCTCAGTGTTCTCTAAGAAATTTTATAGAACTCTGTGGTGGCACTATGATGCAACACTCAGATCCTTCTTCAAGGAAAAACATTTTGCCCCAATTGTTTGGAGTGCTGTCCTAAAACCACTTCAGCTGTCAGTGCACTCAGGGCTCACATCAGCTGCAAATCTTCCCTGCCCAAGGTAGCAGCCTTGCTTCAATAGCCCATTTCCAATGACCAGTTAAAGAGGAAGTATAGAGTAGTACCAGCCACTTTTTAAATATCTTGATTAAGATATTCTACACATCACAAAATAGGCTTACTAAAGGTGTAAACTTCAACTATTTTTGTAAACGTATAGTTATGCAACCATCACCACCATTCAGTTTAGAACATTTACATACCTCAGAAAGAACCCTTTTGTGGAATTAGAGTCAATCCTCACTCCTACTGTAAGTCCTGAGCAACGATTAATCATCTTTCTCTCTTTGTATATTTGCTTTTTCTGGAAATCTCTTATAAATGTAATCCTATAAATGAAGTATTCAGCTGTCCTTAATCCATTCTCTTCAACACAGCCAGAGTTGTATTTCTAAAGCACTTATCATTATATCCCCATGATTATACCTTTTTTTAAAGTTTATTTATTTATTCTGAGTGGGGGGAGGGCAGAGAGAGAGGGAGAGAGAATCCCAAGTAGGCTCAGTACTGTCAGTGCAGAGCCTGATGCAGGGCTCGATCTCACAAACCATGAGATCATGACCTGAACTGAAACCAAGAGTCAGACGCTTAATCCACTGAGGCACACAGGTGCCCCTGATTATACCTTTTAATGCATCTTCTTTTCTAGATAGTCTAAAATCTGTTTTACATATAACATGGGAGCCTTTTCATTATCTGACTAGAACTAACATGCTCATTCCATTTCCAATTACGCTATTACATTTCAGGCAAGTTTGTGACATCATATCTACTTCTTATCTTCCAAAATTCTCAAATATCTCTTCATCTAGGTATTCTTCTCTGACTCAACATGATATTAAGTTCTTTTTATTTGGTACACAATTATTTTTAATTCTTACTTAGACCACACTGTGTTTCAATTATTATTTGAATATGTCTTTCTTCTACATAGTGAACTTTTTGAGAACAGGGGCCAGGACTTCTGCAAATTTTTACTTTTGATATAGCAAATCTCCTGATCCACAATAGGTACTAGATGAACATTTTCTAAATGAATGAGTAAAAATTTAAATGCGTATATTGATGAGCTTGGGGTACAAGGAAAAAGGAATAAGTTGTTCCTGAGAATTGATTATCTGCATTTAAGTCAATGCACTTGATCCTGAAACTTATAATAATTAATAGAGAACAACACATGTGATAGTTTCAGAACTGCTGTGTACTTTCTGTCTGTCTGACAAGTAATTTGGTTTTCATAATGTATAAATTGTGGATAATATTTTCCTTTGACTGGGCTCTTGAAATTTTTCTAACAGGGCAGAATCAAACTACAGCCAACTTATGGTGAGGAGCTCTTCAAACCATTACTGAAATTGCCATTAAGATACACCTGCTGCACAAGGTATTTAAAAGAATGTCAAAGACTATGCTTCTCAGTTACAGAAAACAGGCTTATCGCCTTTAGAAACCATTGAGGGTATTCAAATTCTCTCCCTGTCACTTTCTTTTAATGCTTATTTATTTTGAGAGAGAGAGAGAGAGAGAATTCCGTGCTGGGCAAGGATGAGGGGCTCAATCTCATGACCCTAGGATTATAACCTGAGCCGAAATCAAGAGTTGGATGCTTAACTACCTGAGCTACCCACATGCCTCTCTCCCTGTCACTTGTAGGCAGAAGAATTATTTTCACATCAGCTGCTTTATCCTGGCTACATGGACAGAACCAACACATTGAAGACCAAGTTTAATTCATTCATCCCCAAGAGGAACATAAAGACTATCTGTTGTGATACTAAATTCAAAAGTATACTCCAATCAAAAATAGTTTTGCTTTATCTTTTATGCATACATACAACACCATAATATATATTCAGCAAAGATGTATTACTGTTTCTGTCGTATCCAAGGATATAAAACACATAGCTATTCCAGTGATGGCGCCTTTCAGTTCTTTCTGTAAAGCTTGTTTGTACATGTATGTTTTCATGGACAGACTGCAAGTTAAAAAGCTTATATTCTGTCATTTTCAGTGTCAAATGCATCCAATATCAAACATATCAAGGCTGATCACATCATTATAAATTGCTGATAAGGCTTCTTGTTACCCTTCTATCACCACTGTCACAAATTACCACAAACTTAGTGGCTTATAACATCCATTTATTATCTCCCAGTTTCATGCTGAGATGTCTAAGCACAAGGAGACTCAGTCAGATCCACTGTGCAGAGCTTCACAAGGTCTAAATCAAAATGCTGGCTGAGCTGGCCTCTTATCTAGAAGCTCTGGGGAAGACTCTGCTTCCATAGACCATCAGGTCGTTGGAAGAATTCAGTTCCTTGTCATTTTAATTCATTTTTAAACGAACTAGAGCATGTTGAATCCCTGTTCTTAAAATCTCTGACGTCGTCTTCTGCTACCAGCCAGAGAAAAATCTTGTAAGGACTCATGTGATTATATTAGGTCCACTTGGATAATCCAGGATAATCTTACAATATTACAGTCAAGTAACTGATACTTTTACTTAGATCTTCAAGATCCCTTTCACTCTGTATTTGCAGGAGTAACACCAGAGGATCAAGATTATGGGGGTAAAATTCTTCCTCCTACTGGCTCTTAACTGGAAATGATGTAAGAAATTAATTGCACATGAAGTTCTTTCATTATTTTAAAAGTTATTGCCCCAGTAGCCTGTTGATACCAACCATAAAGACAAATGAGGCTTATATTTACTGTGATTACTTCTGGGCACATGTCTTCACCTTCTAACCTCCAGCAAGACATTTGTAATCCAATAAAGAATGCGAATGGGGATATTGGACTTGGTATTGACAGTTTACATGTGCTTGTTGAGGATATCATCAATAGCCTCTGTTGAATCATTGGATTTTAGAAGTGATTATTCCCGCTTGCTAATGACTCCATGCAATATTTTTTGTAAGTGAGTTTTGAAAAGCTTTGCCTTTGCACTGGTAGCAAAATATAGTGAGAGCTCTAAAATTTTCTCTCCATCTAAGGATATTTGAATTTATGCATATCATCCATAACAGATAGTATGTGCTTCGCCTAAGTGAAAGTGGCAAAACCAACAGAATTTGATTTCAAGATGAAATAGGAAATAATTATTACAACCTGGGTTTAATATAGATTGCATTTTAGCATCCTAAAGATCTTTTCATATATACCACATTAAAACTGAAATAAATGAAGCCTATACGAGTGCTAGTTTTATTTTTCCTCAAAGAAGTATTCCTACCTTCACCTTATATATTTTCTATCAAAGGCACTAGATGAAGTTTATCTCTTCGTTTCTTGAAATCCAGAAGTGTTAACTCAGATTATTTAATATATATTAGGTGTATGTACAGTGTTCTTAGGGTAGATGAGTGTTTCCAACAGAATATTTTCAATACCTTTTACTGCACTAAATAAAGGAAAATTTTGACTCAGAGAGTGGAAGAATTTGACTGAAGCCAAAAACTGATGCCTTCTGACTCAGCTTTGCCTCTAGATTTGGGGGTTAGAAAGTCTGCAGGATTTGGCCATTGGGAGGCAATTAGAAGGTGAATTTAAAGAACAGATAAGCAGTAGAGATGTAAGTCACTCTGAGGGCAGGAGGTTTTACCTAAGTGGATTTTGGAGAAATGGAACTAAGTCATCTCTTATAAGTTTAGCAGCCATGAAACAAGAGGTCATGTGACAGGATGAGGAGGGAAAGAAGGACACGGGAAGGTGTCTTGTTCTGTTTTTCTTCTCTGATAAGGATCATCTGAAAGTGTTTGCAGCCATAGAACAAGCAACAGAGAGAAGGATATAGAGGAAGTTGGAGCAAAGTCAGAGAAGAGATAGAAGAGAATAAAATCAGGAAACTTCAGTGAAGAAATTTTCTGTAGAAAAGAGACAGAATACTTGTCATTTCAAAGCAGAGGAGGGTTCATTTGATAGTTTGCACTGCATGAACTTTATCACTTAGGTGAAGCTAGGAAGGAAGAGGATCTATGGAAACTGAGTCTTTTGCACTTCATAGATGCCACCGAGGGATGACAACACCCATATATATGTAGAAGATGAATTAGTGCATTAGTTACGAGTTCAGGTACTATAGTCAGACTCTATATAAATCCTGGTTCTTACCATTTCAGTTATTGACATAAATTTCACACATCATAAAATCAGCCCATTAGAAGTGTGCAGTTCCATGTTTTTAGTATATTTACAGAACTGTGTACAACCATCACCACAACCTAATTTTAAACATGGCATCCCAGAAAAGAACCCATTAACAGTCATTAGCCTTTCCCTCCTCTTCTCCCACAGCTGGGTCCCAACCCCTGGCAAGCACTGACCTACTTTGAGTTGTTACAGATTTTTCTATTCATGGCTGTCTACATGAAAGCAGTCATGCACTACATAGTCTTTTGTGGAGGCTTCTTTCACATACTGTAGTGGATTCAAGGTTTACCACCTTGTAGCACGTATCAGAACTTCATTCCTTTTTATTTCTGTATCATATTCCATTTTATGGATGTACTATATTTTGTTTATCCATTCATCAGTTGATAGACTTTTAGATTATTTCCAATTTTGGCTTTTATAAATAATGCTGCTATGAACATTTCCTGTAAGTTTTGTATGGACATGTTTCATTTCTCTTGGATGTATACTTAGGAATGAATTGCAGAGTCATGTGGTAATTATAGGTTTTCCAAAAAGGTTTATCATTTACCCTTTGTTTTATTTTTATTTTTTTAACGTTCATTTATTTTTGAGAGAGAGAGACAGAGACAGAGACAGTGTGTGAGCAAGAGAGGAGCAGAGAGAGAGGGAGACACAGACTCCAAAGCAGGCTCTAGGCTCCGAGCTGTCAGCCCAGAGCCCAATGTGGGGCTGGAACTCATAGATTGTGAGATCGTGACCTGAACCTAAGTCGGACACTTGACTGACAGAGCCACCCAGGCGCCCCACCATTTACTCTTGTATATTATTTAACATCACTGAGATTCAGACTCCTGATCTTAAACTGGATGCGGTAATTGTACCTATTTTCTAGGATTTGAGGGAGGATTAGATTATATAAGTAATATAAAACTTGGCACATAAAAAGTGAGTAGGAGAGTACTTTTATTTTTACAACATGACTGGGTACAGTAACAACAAAAAGTTTTCTGATGTCTATGGTGTGTGTGTGTGTGAGAGAGAGAGAGAGAGACAGAGAGAGAGGGAGAGGGAGAGAGAGAGATTAACTGTAATTTGCTAGAAGGCAGTTTCAGTGTGGCCCTTGCACATGTTTTCTAGTTATGTCCCTGTTAGATCCCTGTAAGTATTTTTAAAATTTCCTTTTAGAATTTCTTACTGTTCCAAATATCTCTCATTTTTGAATTAGTCATTATTGCCTCACCTATTCACTCCCATCTTTGTCTATCCATCTAGAACTAACTCTGAACCATCATAAACCATCCATCAATTCTCTGAGCCCCTAGTAACCATCCACTTCTATCTGGGAGACTTTGGTCTCAACTTGGCACTGTCTCCCTTCATTTTACTTTTTTTCTGAGCATTGACATATCCAGGTCTATACTAAGATGATTTTAGCAAACAATCCACATTCCTGTCCTTAGCTATCCCAGACCACTCCCAGTAAGTGGATGTGGGAAAGAGGATAATGCCTCAACTTTCAACATGACTAAGGGGCGGGCGGGGGGGGGGGCAGTAAAAACAAAACAAATAAACCAGTCGTATTAAAGACCTAAAAGCAGATTAAAATTACTGAGTTATTTATCTATTTGCCTTCCATTTTCTCAATATAAAGTATTTCGCATGGGTATTCTTTCAATAAGAGCTTGAGTCATTGTAGAGCTAATATGTCTCCCTGGAGGTTATTATATTTTGACTTTTGGCATTTTCTGGATTATGCTATTTTTGTGTTTTAGCTCTTCAGTGTATTTATACCACTTCCGAATTCTATTCAAACGCCTTAACCCAATGCAGGATGGCCTTTTGTGGTCTCACCCCCCGTGTACCTCTGTCTACCTAGTTCAGACACACAGGCCACAATTCAGCCGAAACAGAGAACTTCCAGCTCCCCCTGAGCCCTGTGCAATATTCTCTTCCTCTCTGAATCTTATCACATCCTGCAATCTCTCTCAGGAACACTCTTCCTGGGGCTTAAACATTGTCTTGACAGGGGCACTCTGAGTAGGGAGAAAATAAACTCTTGTAGCACGTTAATTCAGATTCAGATTTGGGAAGGGCATTAGAAAGAAGTGATAGATCAAGTACAACATAACGACATAAGGACATGTCCTACAGGTTATGGCAAGGGATCCTTATTAGCGTGTTCACTTTTTTCTTTTTTTTTCTTTTTTTTTTTTTAAATCTTGGCCTGTTTAGCCAACGCCCAGGAGTTCTCTTTTTCTCCAGTGACTTACTCAGTGTCCTCTCTCCATCTCGCCATACACCGTTTCCTCCCTGCTACACACAGGAAACAAAGTGATTGCTGCTGCACTTAAATTCTCTCTGTTGGCTCCCAGGAGGAACATAAACCCCCTGGTGTGACCACTCCACTCTCAATGATCTGGTTCCTGGGTCAACCCCCAGCCTCATTTTTCACCATGTTTTATGTGCACATGCAATTTTAGTCATCATGAATCCAACTTGTTCTCTCCTGACTCGTGATTTTGTGCCTTTCCACATTCTTCTTTCTGGAATTGTGCCATGTGGCATCCTAAGCACTAGAGACTTGCAGTAAGTAAAGTCCTGTTCTTTTGCTACCTGAATCAATTCCAAATCTCACCCCATCTGCTCATATTGTGTCTCTATATTGTAGCATTTACTGCCTTTTTTACTCTATATTGTTTGTCTTCTGCTCTACATGAGACTTCCTTGAGTATGAGGATTTTATGTCTTTTATAGTTGTACATTCAGGACTTTATGTAGAGAGTGTGGGACATAATAAATACTCAACAAAGGATTGCTAAGCCACAGTGAATTAGGACCGAGGATTCCAGGACTCCCAGCATCAATACTGACTCAATCTAACTTGGGCTGATGCTTGACTAGATTAACTAAGTAGGTATCCAAGCCATATAGGACCCCTAGAATGAGGTTAACAAGGCCCCATGGGTCTCAGCAAAGGGAGTCATGCAGTGAGATAGTCAGCACTGCTAATTAGGATGTATGCAATGTTTACTCCATCTTCTCGTCGTGTTTGCTTCTGTGAGCATATTTCCTCGCAGAATGGAAGGGGTGGGATTAGACAGTCCCTTGGGTCTCTTTCATCTTTACAACCCTGTTGATGAAATCAATTGGAAAAGAAATCATTGCATTGTTTTGAAACTGTAAAAGCAACTACCATAGTGAAAAGAGGAACTGTATACTTGGGACAGATCCAGAAACACTAAGAAAATCCATCCATATTTTTATTATTAAATTGTTTTT